CTAGATCTACTACTTTTTTTCTGTTTGAATCATGGATTTGTAAGTGGCTTCTAGAGTAATACTGGATTTTCTTTCTTTGTATCAGAAAAAAATGTCATGGTTCTAAATTATGTTTTCAGTCAATCTTTGTCAGGCTAACATTATACTGTTTTTTTCCAATCCTTACTAGGATTTGTTGTTTTGGCTAATGAAAAAAGAATCTGACATCATCTGAACCAACCTACCTACTTAATTAATTAATTTATTTATTTTCTCTCTTATTTTTATAATCAAAGTGATTATTAGAACATTGTGTCTGGGAAGAGAAGTTAATTTGGAAAATGTGTATATTTAAGACTGATGACAAGATCACTGTAATTCCAGGCTCAATTTTTTAAATTTCAGAGTTAACCATCACCAGAAGTATTATATATTGGTTACTCTTCTCTGTCCCCTCAAGAAGCAATTTCTGCATGATGTTACATTGTGAGTTGGTCTCTAAAGCACGAAGCTGAGCAGACCATTCTAGACCTTCTTTAGGAAAAACCAAAATCATGTTGTTCCAGGGAGACACCAGAGCCTCTGGTTAAAAGCTGGGCTCCAAATCTTTAAATCTAGATTCAGTTGGGGTGGGGGTTTGTTATTGGGAGAGAAAAGGCGCATCTCTTCTATAAAGGGGAAGGGGTTTTTAGCTTGGTCTTACTCTATACTGCTTTGGTCGTGTTTTTGATCAAAGGTCATTGCTCACAGACTGTGTTTTAGGTGCTGTTGACTTACATATTAGAATCATTGCAAACGCTTAGAGGCTGGGGGGTGGAAGTAGTGGTAAGCAAGCTAGAGGTCTACTGCAGAATGGAGGAAAGGGAGAGAGGGAAGAGCCACTGAAATCTCTTGCATGCTGTTGAGGCAAATTGGTTGACTCAGTTGCTGTGCTAGAATGCTGTCCTTTCTCTTCTTCACTGAGCCTGATTTGGGTACGCTGCTTGGGAAAACCCATTATTTCCAGCTGTTATGTAGAGCTCCAAAGAGCAGATGATCCTTCTTAATTACTGTTGCTTTCAAGCAGCCTCATTTAGAGATGTCTTACTTTCTGCCATATTTAATAAACCTGCCACAGTAGGTACTTAATTAACAGTGTGTGAATGGATGGATAAATGGAAGGAAGAAAGAATAAAAGGAAGAAAGGAAAGATGAATGTCTAACTAAGGAGGCATGAATTTTGTTTTGTTTTGTTTATCAAAAGGGCATAGGCTTCAAAAAGTTTAAAAACACTGCCCTCACCCATAGTGAGCAACCTCCAGATCTGGGCACACCCATGGGAGTGTTGTGAATGTTAGTCATGTGCTATAAGGGGCAAAGGAGAGCCATACTTCTTTTCACAGGCTTTTCCTTTATTATCCTCTAGATAGTCCAGTCTTTTCTTAGAATTTCCCTAGAGTGGAGAGGCATCCTTCAACTGCTTATATATAGGTGATAAAAATGGCTAAAAAAGTCATTACCTGGCCGGGCACAGTGGCTCACACCGTGTAATCCCAGCACTTACATATAGGTGATAAAAATGGCTAAAAAAGTCGTTACCTGGCCGGGCACAGTGGCTCACACCGTGTAATCCCAGCACTTATATATAGGTGATAAAAATGGCTAAAAAAGTCATTACCTGGCTGGGCACAGTGGCTCACACCGTGTAATCCCAGGCAGAGACAGGCAAATCACAAGGTCAAGAGATCGAGACCAACGTGGCCAACATGGTGAAACCCTGTCTCTACTAAAAATACAAAAATTAGCTGTACGTGGTGGTGTGCGCCTGTAATCTCAGCTACTCAGGAGGCTGAGGCAAGAGGATTGCTTGAACCCAGGAGGTGGAGGTTGCAGTGAGCCAAGATCGCGCTGCGACACTCCAGCCTGGGCAACAGAGGCAGACTCTGTCTCAAAAAACAAACAAACAAAAAAAGCCCTTACTTGCAAACCACAGTGCCTCCAGTTTTACAACTTAGAAAGTGACCTTCCAGTTAACTAAACTGACTAGTTCCCTCTAATTCTTTTTGCTTTTGAGATTAAACTATCTATTCTGGAATTGTCTTCATTGTGTTCATTTATACACATTGTTAAAGATTTTGAGAGCTTTGGCCCGGTGTGGTAGCTCAGGCCTGTAATCCCAACATTTTGAGAGGCTGAGGCAGGCAGATCACCTGAGGTCGGGAGTTCGAGACCAGCCTGACCAACGTGGAGAAACCCCGTCTCTACCAAAAATACAAAATTATCCAGGTGTGGTGGCACGTGCCTGCAATCCCAGCTACTTGGGAGGCTGAGGCAGGAAAATTGCTTGAACACGGGAGGCAGAGGTTGCAATGAACCGAGATCGTGCCTTTGCACTCCAGCCTAGGCAACAAGAGTGAAAAAAAAAAAGCAAAAAAAAAAGTCTTGCTTTGTTGCCCAGGCTACAGTGCAGTGGTGCAATCTTCTCCCAGGTTTGAGCAATTCTCCTGCCTCAGCCTCCCGAGTAGCTAGGACTACAGGCATGCGCCACCATACCCGGTTAATTTTTATATTTTTGGTAAAGATGGGGTTTCACTATGTTGACCAGGCTGGTCCTAAACTCCTGGCCTCAAGTGATCCTCCCGCCTGAAGTGATCCTCCCTCCCAAAGTGCTGGGATTTACAGCCATGAGCCACCATGCCAGGCTGCTTTATATAATTTCTATAAAGTGATGTATATTGACATCAGTGGCCTGTGAAGGCTTTCATTTGTTTTAAATCACTACAACATTTGATCCAAATGCTTCCAAAGATCCAGAATCTTCCACGATAACTGGCAAACAACTACCTAGCCGGTTTCACGAATTTTAGGCAAATATTCAATCATTATATTTAAAATATGGTTTTTATGATAATGTATTATTTTTTATGATCGTAGGCTTTACACTGGATTTTGCTCTACCTCTTTCCTACATGCATTCTCGGCCTTGAGACTAGACAGTGAGAATAGGGGAGGAATTAAGCACATTGCTCTTATGCTAAATTGATTTGTTACTGAGACCTCTCTAGTGTTCTTTACATAATACATGGATAATAAATTGTTGCTCAACCACCTTGCACATAAAAACTATGAAAAAACTTTGTATACTGTGATTACCATTTGGTTTTCTTGTATTTGTGTATAGCTTTATAGTTGACAGAATTCTTACTTCATTTGATTTTCATAATAAACCTTTTACTAGATAGGGACTGTCAGGAATATATTAAAATCTTGTGGGTTTTTTTTTTATTTTTTTCAATATACACATGCTCTACTCTTGCTTTCATCCCGGTTCTGATAAGCTTCTTTGTAGAGGGCAGGGTCTCTTCCACAACCACTATCTTAAATCCAAGCCCTAGCAATCCATCCTCAGTTTTTTGTTTTTTTTTTTTTTGATATGGAGTATTGCTCTGTTGCCCAGGCTGGAATGCAGTTACCCGATCTTGGCTCACCACAGCCTCTGCCTCCTGGGTTTAAGCCATTCTCCTGCCCCAGCCTCCTGAGTAGCTGGGATTATAGGAATGCACCATCATGCCCAGCTAATTTTTTGTGTTTTTAGTAGAGACGGGGTTTCACCATGTTGACCAGGATGGTCTCCATCTCTTGACCTCATGATCCACTTGCCTCGGTCTCCCAAAGTGCTAGGATTATAGGCGTGAGCCACCGCGCCCAGCCAAAGGTCATTGCTTTTAAGAGGTCATCTCAATTTTCTACTATATTAAGTTGTAGGAGTTTTATAGTTTTGTATTTTACAGTTAGGTTTATGATCCATTTCCAGTTAATTTTTGTGCAAGGTGCAAGGTCTGTCTAGATTCTTTTTTTTTTTTTTTTTTTGCGTGTGCATGCCAGTTGTTCCAGCACCAGTTGTTGAAAAAAACTTTCTTTTCTACTGACACTTGTTCTGATTAAAAAAAGACACTGTATTTTTTTTTCCATTTAAGCCTTTGCTCCTTTGTCAAAGTTCAGTTGACTCTATTTATGTGGGTCTATTTCTGGCCTTTCTATTCTGTTCCATTGATCTATTTGTCTCGGCTGGTTTTTATTTTAGAAGAAATTGTTATATAGAAGAGAAATTAATGAAAGGCTAAGTAGACTACAGATAACAGTAAATATTCTCATTTTAGATGCTTTAAAAAAAAGTCCACAATACAACAGAGGCACTGAATGAAGTTTAGCATAATGATAATAAGTAAAATTATTTGAAGATGTCTCAGCTGGGCATGGTGGCTTACACCTGTAATCCCAGCACTTTGGGAGGCCAAGGTGGGCAGATCACCTGAGGTTCGGAGTTCCAGACCAGCCTGGCCAACATGGTGAAACCCCATCTCTACTGAAATACAAAAACTTAGCTGGGTGTGGTGGCAGGTGCCTGTAATCCCAGCTACTCAGGAGGCTGAGGCAGGAGAATCACTCGAACCTGGGAGGCAGATGTTATAGTGAGCTGAGATCACACCATTACGTTCCAGCCTAGGCAAGAGAGCAAGACTCCATATCCAAAAGGAAAAGAAAAAAATAAAAAGAATTTAAGATCCTTAAGGTATTCAAATTTTCAGGGCCTCATGAAGCCTCATCTGATAATTTTTCAAGTGTTTTTAAACAGAAAAATACTACCATTGATTCTTTTCTTTTTTTCTTTCTTTCTTTTTCTTTTTTTTTTTTTTTTTTTTGGAGACGGGATTTCTCTCTTGTTGCCCAGGCTAGAGTACAATGATGCAATCTCAGTTCACTGTAACCTCCTCCTCCTGGGTTTAAGTGATTCTCCTGCCTTAGCCTCCAAAGTAGCTGGGATTACAGGCATGTGTCACCACGCGTGGCTAATTTTGTATTTTTTTTTTAGTAGAGATGGGGTTTCTCCATGTTGGTCAGGCTGGTCTCAAACTCCCAATCTCAGTTGATCCTCCCGCCTTGACCTCCAAAAGTGCTGGAATTATAGGTGTGAGCCACCACACATGGCCGATTCTTACTTTTCATTGGTTGCACATATACCTTTGCGTGGCAGTGGGTGAGGGGGCTGCTTTCCAGTGAAGATCAAAAAACCTGCTAGACAAATTCTGAAAGAGCTGTAGCAGTAATGCACCTTTCTTAGTAGTAAAGCATATGACATTATTCGGACAAAGCTTCCATAAAGAATAAAATGTTATGTAATTTTCACTTCCATTTTCCAGAAGAAATCCCTTTCTGCCTGTTGTCTCCCTGATCCTTCCTTCCAGATCTATGGTGCACTTGTATACTGACCAGCCACTTTAGATCATGCAGTTAAGAACAGCTTTATCTTTTTGAGGGATAAAGCTATTCTTACCTACATGATCTAAAGTGTAGATCTGGGATTAGAGTCCACACTCTTACCCAACACCCTACACATTGTGTAATACTGTGTAGGGTGTTGGCTAAGAATGTGGACTCTAATCCCAGTTTCTTGAGTTCACATCTTACTATCTTCCAGTTTGTGACCTTGGGTATGTTATTTAACTGTTGTGTTCCACCTGTTTAAAATGTAGATAATAATAGTCATTACATGATAAGAATATGAATATGTGCCTGTGTGCCTGTGTTTGTGTGTGTGTGTGTGTGTATGTATGATCTCTGAAGAGAACCTGCACATGATAAGTGTTCAATATATGTAAGGTTTGATTATTCAACAGATAGTATTGAGTGCTGGACCCAGGTAATACACTGATTACACCCTGAGCAAGATTTGATCCCTGCCCCTTTTTCTCAGAATATTTTTCCTGGTGCTCAGGTCATATTGACATTTGCTATGTTAATTTGGGTTTGGCATTTTTTACTTCATTTTGTAGTTGAAGTCAAGTGATTTTGCTGTTCTGAAGCAGTTGCTGCCTCTGTTGGAGAAGGTGTCCAACACATATCCTGATCCTGTCATCCAAGAACTCGCTGTTGATCTCCGCATCACCATCTCTACCCATGGAGCCTTTGCCACTGAGGCCATCAGCAAGGCTGCCCAAAGTACATTGAACAAAGAAGATCCAGAAGGGAAAATAGAAGAGCCACAACAAAGCAGTCATGAAAGACACACTGATGTAGCTCATAGCCACCTTGAACAACAGCAGAGCCATGGAATAGCCCCCCAGACAGGCCTGCAATCAGATGCTCCGGTCACTCCTCAAGGAGTCAATGAGCCCAGCACTGCCACAAGCCAGAAATCTGGAAGCATAACCACAGAACAGCTCCAAGAGGTTATTTTATCTGCTTATGATCCCCAAATTCCAACGCGGGCTGCTGCCCTGCGTACTCTTTCCCACTGGATAGAGCAGAGAGAAGCAAAAGCCCTTGAGATGCAAGAGAAGCTTCTCAAGGTGAGTAGAGCACACTGTAAAGACGCGTGGGCACAGGGTGGCACAGCCGTCCAGGAGCATTCATTCAACTCAAGTATTTTTGGAGCCTAGACTATGTGTCAAGTGCTGTTCTGGACCACCATCCAGAAATGTATGATTTCTGTTAGGAGGCAACACTTAGACACAAGAAAGACTTAAACTCCTCAATTGAATATCAGCCAAATGCCAAAATTTGGGCACACAAGAAATGCTTTGGGCAGTAAGGAAAAAGAGAAAGTTGAAATTTTCTGGAGGATATAGATCTTAATATGGCCTTGACAACTGATGAAGTTTGAGCAGATGAAAAAGGGGTGGGACAGCATAAGCAAATTCTCAGAGATGGGAAAGTACCTTTTGTGGTAAAAAGGTCTGCTTCATCACTGCAACCCAGCCCAGATAAGCCATCTGTTTTCTCTGGGTACCTTAAGTGGGGCATTGGGCAAAACTGGGTCTCCTCCCCTCTTCTTTCCCTTTATCATGGTGAAAAAGCTGTTCTTTTTTTCTTTTCTCTTGTTTTTTGTTTTTTTTGCAAGAGGGTCTCGCTCTGTCACCCAGGCTAGAATGTAGTGGCATGATCTTGGCTCATTGCAACTTCTACCTCCTGGGTTCAAGTAATTATTCTGCCTCAGCCTTCCAAGTAACTGGAATTACAGGTGCCTACTACCACATCCAGCTAATTTTTGTACTTTTAGTTGAGATGGGTTTCACCATGTTGGCCAGGCTGGTCTTGAATTTCTGACATCAAGTGATCTGCCCACCTTGGCCTCCCAAAGTGCTAGGATTACAGGCGTGAGCCACTGCACCTGGCCAAAAGCTGTTCTTTAAATTATAGATTTATGTGGGAGAATGTGTGTGCTTAGCTGGGGATCTTTTCCCTTTTGTGGAAATTGTCCTGACCTCCGTATGGCTTAGAGATTAAGAGCAAGGGGTCTAGAGACTACTCCCTGGGATCACATCCCAGATCAGTTTCTTAGACATTTGAACTTTCTGAGCCTCAATTATGATGATGATGATGATGATAACAATGACCTTTTCTATATGCCCTAGCCGTTAGTTTAATAATTAGAATTCTGATTTAAACATTTATTTTTAGTTTATTTATTTATTTATTGGAACCAATTGTATAATAATAGTGACTGCTGTTTATTGAGCCAGGCCATATTTATAGATATTGTCTCTAATCCTCACAATTGCAGTATTAGTATTACCCCCATTTAACAGATAAGAAAAGCAAGGCACAGAAATATACAGGATTTGCTGTCACTGAAATATTACTGGAAACCTCAAATGTGTATCTTTTTTGAGTAATTACTTAAAATATTCTTTTACACACCTATTTGAAGGTGAATGCAATGAAGATCTTGGAATTTTTTTTAGCTTCATTAAAACTTCATCTGCTGTACATAATTGGTTACCAAGTCCTGTCAATTCTTTTTTCTAAGAAGTCTTTCTTTTTTTTTTTTTTTTTTTTTTTGAGATGGAGTCTTGTTCTGTTGCCCAGGCTGGAGTACAGTGGGGTGATCTCAGCTCACTGCAACCTCCACCTCCCAAGTTCAAGCAATTCTATTGTCTCAGCCTCCCAAGTAGCTGGGATTACAGGCACATGCCACCACACCCAGCTATTTTTTTTTATATTTAGACCCTGTTAGGCAGAATGGTCTCAATCTCCTGACCTAATCTGCCTGCCTCGGCCTCCCAAAGTACTGGGATTACAGGTGTGAGTCACCACACCCCGCCCCCAAGAAGTCTTTCAAATGTATTTTATCCTCTTATTTCCATGGCCATTACCCTAAATTAAGCTTCCCTTACTTACTCTATAAAAGATTCCCTACCTTCCAACCTGGCCATCTTCCTAACTGGGGTAATTTTAGGCTCTCCTTGCATGTAGGCTCTCCTTACATCTCCTTAAGATGTAGAGACCAGCAGCATCAAGTTGATGTCAAGAATCACTGTGCCAGCAAAGAACACAGCATTATTTATGGAGCAGACACTTCCATCTTCCTTTCTCTGGCTCTCAGGTTGGGGTCTAAACCTAACACGTCATGTAGTATCTTCCAGATAAGCTGTACTCACTGTAGCTGATACCCCTGATAGGTTCCTAAATTTTAAGATATTTTGAGAGTAATTTGTTACTAATGTCAATTAAAGTGCTGAAATTTACAGGATTTTCTAAAATAATTAGATTCAAAGTTATCTCAATAATATCTCTATCTCACTTCCACTTTTATATGCTTTGTGGGTGCGAGAGAAAAGGATTAAATTGTAGCAAATGTGCCATCCATTGCACATAACCCCAAACCTTGTCTCTTGTGTGTCACAGCCTGTAGTCTGGCATGCCATATGTGAGAATGTTGTTCACCATGGCTGTCACTGAAAAATGTTGAGGATTGTTCTTCCACTGGTTTCCAGGACTATTGCTGGAAGAATACAAGTATCGCCCCCAATCTCTACCCTTTTTTTAATGGTTTTAAAATGGAACTTCAAGTGTATAAGCCATTTCCTCCATAAAACTCTGTCAGACCAGTTCCTAGCTAAGACAAACAAGAAGCAAAGCATTTACTCTTTTGAACTGATGATAAGGGAGTCTCTTAAATCTTCCTTGTTCTTTGTAAATCTTATCACTGCTGTATTTTGTGGTTCCAGATATTCTTGGAAAACTTGGAACATGAAGACACTTTTGTGTATCTATCTGCAATTCAGGGTAAGTCAGTCCTGGTTAAAGGACTTTGAGTCTGTGGACCAAAGAATGTATCATGTTCATGTTTATTTGCACAAAATTTCTGAAGTCCTAGGGCCATGAGACTACATTTTGTCTACTTCCTGCCTCCTAGCTAGGACACTTTAAGTCATAATAATAATAATCTTGGAGGGTTTCCAAAGGGTCTGTATAGAGTTTCAGTGTCTCATAATGATGAAGAAGTTTTTATTAATGTTTACTTATTCTATAGGTTAAATTGTATTTCTTCTAATTCAAGGAGGTAAAGAATGATTCACACACGAACTCTTATCACATTAACCTTTTATGTTAGTCAGCTACTGTCTCTCTCTTTTTTTTTTTTTTTGAGACAGAGTCTCATTGTCACCCAGGCTGGAATGCAGTGGTATGAAGTTGGCTCACCATAACCTCTGCCTCCTGAGTTCCAGTGATTCTCCTGCTTCAGCCTCCCAAGTAGCTAGGATTACAGATGCCTCCCACGATGCCCAGCTATTTTTTTATATTTTTGGTAGAGATAAGGTTTCACCATGTTGATCAGGCTGGTCTTGAACTCCCGACCTTCAGTGATCCACCCACTTTGGCCTTCCAAAGTGCTGGAATTACAAGCATGAGCCACACACTTGGCCTCAACTACTATCTATATGCACGTTTTCTCTCTCATTAAGCTAAAAAAACCTCAGGTATTAAGTGTTTTCTTATTAAAACATTTTTTGCAATAACTTTATTTCTCATTTTATGATTCTTTGTTGTTCTCTACATCCCGATTAACTTGTGGGCTCCAAATCTAGAGAGGATGTAGAGAATAAGGCACCCTTTCCAAAAGAGCCAGAAGCAGACATGGTGAGATCAGAGTTAACTCAGTTTCCCTTGGCTCCATCAGCAACATATAGTCAGCAGACCACCTGGGTGGACCACCCCATTACCATGCTTTGGCAAATTACTTAGTCCCTGTGGGCTTCAATTTTTCATTATCTGTGAAAAAGGGACTAAATGGGAATGTAAAATGGTACTGCCACTTTGCGA